CAAATTTTTAATTTTGGGTCCAGTTTTTAAATTGGTCTACATTAAGGTCCAAAGGGTCCAAAATTTGAACTTTGTTTGATTTTAACAAAAATTGAATATATGGGGTTCTTTGATATGCTGAATCTAAATATGTATTTAGATTTTTGATTTTTGGCCCAGTTTTCAAGTTGGTCCAAATTGGGGTCCAAAATTAAACTTTGTTTGATTTCAACAAAAATTGAATATATGGGGTTCTTTGATATGCTGAATCTAACCATGTATTTAGATTTTTATTTGTGGACCCCACTATCAAATTGGTTCATATTGAGGTCAAAAGGGTCCAAAATTAAACTTTGTTTGATTTCATCAAAAATTGAATTATTGGGGTTCTTTGATATGCCAAATCTAACCATGTATTTAGATTTTTAATTTTGGGTCCTGTTTTTTAAATTGGTCTACATTAAGGTCCAAAGGGTCCAAAATTAAACTTAGTTTGATTTTAACAAAAATTGAATTCTTGGGGTTCTTTGATATGCTGAATCTAAACATGTGTTTAGATTTTTGATTATGGGCCCAGTTTCAAGTTGGTCCAAGTTGGGGTCCAAAATTAAACTTTGTTTGATTTCAACAAAAATTGAATATATGGGGTTCTTTGATATGCTGAATCTAAACATGTATTTAGATTTTAGATTTTTGGCCCAGTTTTCAAGTTGGTCCAAATTGGGGTCCAAAATTAAACTTTGTTTGATTTCAACAAAAATTGAAAATATGGGGTTCTTTGATATGCTGAATCTAACCATGTATTTATATTTTTTATTTGTGGGACTGCTATCAAATTGGTTCATATTGAGGTCAAAAGGGTCCAAAATTAAACTTTGTTTGATTTCATCAAAAATTAATTATTGGGGTTCTTTGATATGCCAAATCTAACCGTGTTTTTAGATTTTTAATTTTGGGTCCCGTTTTTTAAATTGGTCTACATTAAGGTCCAAAGGGTCCAAAATTAAACTTAGTTTGATTTTAATAAAAATTGAATTCTTGGAGTTCTTTGAAATGCTGAATCTAAACATGTGTTTAGATTTTTTATTATGGGCCCAGTTTTCAAGTTTGTCCAAGTTGGGGTCCAAAATTAAACTTTGTTTGATTTCAATAAAAATTGAATATAAGGGGTTCTTTGATATGCTGAATCTAACCATGTATTTTGATTTTGGACATTGGACCATACTAGGTAAATTAAAAAAATTCAAGTTCTTAGACCACATTCTTTCTGTGTCAGAAACCTATGCTGTGTCAAATATTTAATCACAATCCAAATTCAGAGCTGTGTCAAGCTTGAATGTTGTGTCCATACTTGCCCCAACTGTTCAGGGTTCAACCTCTACGGTCGTATCAAGCTGCACCCAGCGAAGCATTTTATTTTACACATGAAAGAAACAATATTAGCAACTATTACTTAAATCTGATTATAATATGGAAATAGATATAACATCATATCTGATTTTAGAGAAATATTTTGCTGGTTTTTTATTCGACCGCAAAAATTAAAAATTTTTTGGTCGTATATTGGTATGACGTTGGCGTCGTCGCAGTTGTTGTCGTCGTCGTCATCCTTTGGCGTCGTTGTCCGAAGTCACATTGGTTTTCGCACTCTAACTTTAGTTTAAGTGAATGGATCTCCATGAAATTTTACCATAAGTTTCAATACCACAAAAGGAAGGTTGGGATTGATTTTGGGGGTTATGGTACCAACAGTTAAGGAATTAGGGACTGAAAAGGGGCCAAAAATAAGCATTTTTGTAACTTCCAGACATAACTTGTGTGTTAGTGTATGGATCTCTCTGACATTGTACCACAAGGTTCCATATCACAAAGGGAATGCTGGGATTGATTTTGGGGGTAATTGCCTCAAAATTTTAGGAATTAGGGGCCAAAAAAGGGGCAAAAAACAAGCATTTTTCTAGTTTCATGATAATAACTTGTGTGTTAGTGTATGGATCTTTCTTAAATTGAATTACAAGGTTCCATATCACAAAGGGAAAGCTGGAATTGAGTTTGGGGGTAATTGCCCAAAACTTTAAGGAGTAAGGGGCCAAAAAGGGGCCAAAAATAGCATTTTTTTAGTTTCCAGACAATTACTTGTGTTCAAGTGTATGGATCTCTCTGAAATTGTACTGCATGGTACCATACCACAAAGGGAAGGCTGGGATTGATTTTGGGGGTAATTGCCTCAAAATTTTAGGAATTAGGGGCCAAAAAGGGGAAAAAACAAGCATTTTTCTAGTTTCAGGACAATAACTTGTGTGTAAGTGTATGGATCTTTATGAAATTGTACTACAAGGTTCCATATCACAAGAGGAAAGCTGGGTTTGAGTTTGGGGGTAATTGCCCTAAACGTTTAGGAATTTGGGGCAAAAAAGGGGCCTAAAAACAAGCATTTTTATACGCCCGTTTACGGGACGTATTATGGTATACCGTTGTCCGTCTGTCCGTCTGTCCGTCCGTCCGTCCGTCCGTCCGTCGTCAACATGTCGGACATTAACTCAAAAATGCTTTAACCAATTTGCATAAAACTTTGGTGAATTGTTTATATCTATTGACGTGAGCTCCCTTTCGTTTTTTATAAATTTGAAATTTTACGTTTCTGAGTTATGGGGTTTTATTCATTAAAAAAAGGGGGATTTTCCAGTTTTTGGACAATAACTCAAGAATGCTTTCACCAACTTGCAAGAAATTGTGGTGAATTGTTTATATCTATTGACATGAGCTCCCTTTCGATTTTTATAAATTTTAGATTTTAAGTTTCCGAGTTACAGGGTTTTATTCATAAAAAAGGGGGATTTTCCAGTTTTCTGACAAAAACTCAAAAATGCTATCAGCAGTTCTTATGAAACTATGGTGAATTGTTTATATCTATTTAAGTAAGCTCCCTTTAGAATTTTATAAATTTTACATTTTACATTTCTGAGTTATGGGGTTTTATTCATTAAAAAAGGGGGGATTTTCCAGTTTTCGGACAATAAGTCAAAAATGCTGTCAGCAATTCTCATGAAACTTTGGTGAATTGTTTATATCTATTGATGTAAGCTCCCTTTTGATTTTCATAAATTTCTAATATTACATTGAGAATTAATTGAACTTTATTTGTTTACAGTCTGACAACAGATTTACTAAGTATTGCGTAACAGCACAGTGTATTGCACAACAGCAAGAAATTTTTAATTGAATATAAATTCAATTCATATAACAAATTTCAAGTTCTTTGACTACATTTATTCAGAAACCTGCAATATGTCAAATACTTAATTACAATCCAAATTCAGACCTGTATCAAGCTTGATTATTGTGTCCATTTTTGCCCCAACTGTTCAGGGTTGGACCTCTGCGGGCGTATCCAGCTGCGCTCAGCGAAGCAGTTTATTCTAGTTTCCAGACAATAACTTGTGTTCAAGTGTATGGATCTCTCTGAAATTGTACTGCAAGGTACCATACCACAAAGGGAAGGCTGGGATTGAGTTTGGGGGTGATGAATCATAAGGGGGTTCAAAACATTAGGGGGGAGGATTTTTTTTTTTTTCCTTTTTTTTTTTCCTTTTTTTTTTTTCTTTTAAAATTTTCCATTTTAAGTTGGTTATTTCTGATTTATATTTAAAAGCAAATAATAATGATATGGTAGGAGATACACACCAAACAGGATGTGTAAATTATTATATAATAAGTATTGTGCAATAGCATGAAATTTTCAATTGCACAGTATTGCACAATAGCAAGAAATCTTCAATTGCACAGTATTGCGCAATAGCAAGAAATCTTCAATTGCACAGTATTGCGCAATAGCAAGAAATATCCAATAGCACAATATTGCGCAATAGCAAGAAATTGTCAATTGTACAGTATTGGGCAATAGCAAGTTAAATGTGTAACAGTTTTGGTTTATACTTCTATTATATTACCTTAATACAAAAAAAAAACACAACACATTACTATTTGTCGGCCTTTATAGGCCATTAAAGAGATTCCAGTAAAGCTTGATGTTATTAGAGAAAATGTCTGACACAACAATGCAAAAATGAATGTTATATGACATCAATAGTTCAAGCGCACAACATATTGGGTCAAATGTGAAACGGCCTGGTTTATGAGCAAAATAAAGGCAACAGTAGTATACCGCTGTTCGAAACTCTTAAATTGATAGAGATAAAAACAAATCCGGGTTACAAACTAAAACTGAGGGAAATGCATCAAATATAAGAGGAGAACAACGACACAACAAAAACACAACATCAAAATGTAACACACACAGAAACGAACTATAATATAACAATGGCCATTTTCCTGACTTGGTACAGGACATTTTAAGAAAAAAATGGTGCGTTGAACCTGGTTTTGTGGCATGCCAAACCTCCCGCTTTTATGGCAACGTCAAACACAACACCAAAACGACAACATCACATGACAAAACCATTAACAAAATCAAATATGGAATACAGCAACAAATGACAACCACTGAATTACAGACTCCTGACTTGAGACAGGCACATACAGAGTATGGTGGGGTTAAACATGTTAGTACAAACCCTCCCCTAACCTTGGACAGATGTGTAACAGCACAACACAAGAACAAATTATGGAAATCAATTGAAAAGGGCTTAAGTCATCAGATCAATACAAAGCACAAAAACAACTAACAAATACACAAAAGACACAAAGTACAGATCTGAGAGTACTTCCAGTTACTGAAAGCTAGTTCAAAGCTGATAACAACTAATAAAAAAAAATCATGTATCCAAGACTAAGTATCAAACAGTACACATCCAACTTCCTATGGATTTAGTATAGAGATGTCATTAACAGTCAGAGAAAAAGATGACCTTGTGCAATGCCAACATATAAGTATGGACAGATTGTAGGACTGTGAATGTACATATTTGTGTAACAGTGATATTTAGTTTGCATTGTTTTGTTATCAATTATCATATACAGTAATTGCTTCAGTATATATTCTGTATCAATATTTTTTGTAGGCACCATCAAGTTTATTAGATGCACTTGAACAGCATTTGGCATCATTAGAAGGGAAAAAGGGTGTTGTTTCTACAACAAAGTAAGTCATAATTTCTATGAAGTTTATTATCAATAGAACAATGTTCAGGAAAATTTGTGCAGTGGTGTTTTTGATAATTTGCATCATAAAAATTTTGTGGAAATTTTAATATGCTCAGTGAAATTTTCTTTGGAGATAAAAGATAAAGTTTGCAATTTTCTAGTCAAAAATCTGAAAATAAAAAGCAATTTCTGGATGAGAATGCAAGTTTCTTGTGAATCCTATTTCTTCTTAAGTTACCATGATACACGTTTTGATTTTCACTGTTGCATACCTGTCAACTTCTGAAACTGAAAATGCAGGTTATAACCTGCATTCTACATTGAGTAAAAAAATATCAGGTCATAACAAACTGTTCTCAGCTAAATTTTACACAAGTTTTTATACCACCACAAAAGGAAGGTTTGGATTGATTGTGGGGGTTATTGTCCTAACTGTTTAGAAATAAGGGGCCAAAAAAAAGTATTTTTCTTGTTTCAGGACAATAACTTGTGTATAAGTGTATGGATCTCTATGAAATGGTACCACAAGGTTCAATACTTCAAAAGATAGGTTGGGATTGATTTTGGGGTTCTGTCCAAACTCTTTAGGAATTAGAGGCCAAAAAACAAGGATTTTCTGGTTTCCAGACAATGAACTTATACATATTGAAGAGTAATTAAGTCATTGTATTATTTAACGTTTAATAATTTAAAAAGGCACAATTTTGACCTGTTGTTTCAACATACTATGATACTATTATGAATGTTCTAGTAATTCATCAAATAACTAATTCAAACCCGGGCCTTCTTGTATTAATTATGGCAATTTCAGAAGTTTCATATTTTAAGTTTTGATTCAGTTGAGGGTTTCTTTTTAGATAGTTATAGTTAAGAATTGTTCCCCTTATTGTTTGCAGGAATTAATATAAAATCAAATTTATTTGGAGGTCCATGTCCATTTTAATTAATACAGGACCTGAGTGGTGTAAAAAGTGTTATGTCATTAATCTATACTGGTGGAGAATATATTCTTATAACAAGGTAGTGTTTTCACCTGATTCCAAGGTGCTCCTATTACAGGATCAATATACAGAAGAATAAGAAGAAATGCATTTTTGGCTCATCAATTCATGGGGATTTAGGCAGAAATTTACTTTTTATGCCCCCGCCGTAATGGTGGGGGCATTAAGTTTTACCCTTGTCCGTCTGTACGTTTGTACGAACGTACATCCCAAAATTGGTTTCCGTTCTCTAACTTGAGTTTGCCTCAACCAAATGTTATGAAACTTATACACAATGCTTATTACCACAAAACACAGATCAAGTTTGAATTTTAGTGGCGTCACTTTAACCGTTCTAGAGTTATGCCCCTTTATAAATAGAAAAATTGCAAAATTTTTAGTTTCTGTTCTCTAACTTAAGTTTGCCTCAACCAAATGTTATGAAACTTATACACAATGCTTATTACCACAAAACACAGATCAAATTTGAATTTTGGTGGCGTCACTTTAACCATTCTAATAGTTATGCCCCTTTATAAATGGAAAAATTGCAAAATTTTTATTTTCTTCTAAATATCAAGTAATTTTTATACGCCGGTTTACGGGACGTATTATGGTATACCTTTGTCTGTCTGTCCGTCCATCTGTCCGTCTGCCGTCAGTCCGTCCGTCCTTCTGTCCGTCGTCAACATGTCAGACATTAACTCAAAAATGCTTTAACCAATTTGCATAAAACTTTGGTGAATTGTTTATATCTATTGACGTGAGCTCCCTTTTGTTTTTTATAAAATTTAGATTTTACGTTTCCGAGTTGTGGGGTTTTATTCATTTAAAAAAAGGGGGATTTTCCAGTTTTAGGACAATAAGTCTAGAATGCTTTCACCAACTTGCAAGAAATTGTGGTGAATTGTTTATATCTATTGACATGAGCTCCCTTTTGATTTTTATAAATTTTAGATTTTATGTTTCCGAGTTACAGTGTTTTATTCATAAAAAAGGGGGGATTTTCTAGTTTTCGGACAAAAACTCAAAAATGCTTTCAGCAATTCTTATGAAACTTTGGTGAATTGTTTGTATGTATTGATGTAAGCTCCCTTTAGAATTTTATAAATTTTACATTTTATATTTCTGAGTTATGGGGTTTTATTCATTAAAAAAGGGGTGATTTTCCAGTTTTCAAACAATAACTCAAAAAAGCTGTCACCAATTCTCATGAAACTTTGGTGAATTGTTTATATCTATTGATGTAAGCTCCCTTTACATTTTCATAAATTTCTAATATGACATTGAGAATTAATTTAACTTTATTTGTTTATAGTCTGACAACAGACTAAGTATTACACAACAGCAAGAGATCTTTAATTGAATATAAATTCAATTCATTTAACCAATTTCAAGTTCTTTGACTACATTTATTCAGAAACCTATAATATGTCAAATATTAAATTACAATCCAAATTCAGACCTGAATCAAGCTTGAATATTGTGTCCATTTTTTGAATTGATTGAATCAACTACAATCAATGCTTTAAACAATGCAATGTTTAATTTTGACTTCCACTGAAAAAACACAGATCAAGTTGAATTTTGGTAGTGTCACTTAAACCATTATTGAGTTATGCCCTTTTATAAATCCAAAGATTGCAAAATTTTTAGTTTCCATTTTGTAACTTAAGTTTGCCCCAACCAAACATTATGAAACCTATACACAATATTCATTACCACAAAACTAAGATCAAGTACAAATTTTTTGTTTCCGTTTTCTAACTTAAGTTTGCCTCAACCAATTGTTATGAAACTTATACACAATGCTTATTGCTACAAAATACAGATTATGTACGAAATTTGGTGGCGACACTTTTACCATTCTTGAGTTATGTCCCTTTATAAACATAAAAATTGCTGAATTTTTAGTTTCCGTTCTCTAACTTAAGTTTGTCTCAACCAAATGTTATAAAACTTATACACAACTGTTCTAGAGGTATAACTATATGATATGCAAGCGGGGGCATCATCTGTGTCCACATGTGGACACTATTCACATTTATTTTTATTACTACCTGTAACGTCTATGTTATATAGGCACCTACATTTTAATATTGTATTTATATTGTGTCATAGATCAAACTTATTCGTTCAGTGTATGTTTACTTGTTTTTATACGACTGCAAAAAATTTTGCGGTCGTCTATTGGTATGACGTCGTCATCGTCTGGCGTCGTTGTCGTCAGAAGACACATTAGTTTTTGCACTCTAACTTTAGTTTAAGTGAATGGATCTCTATGAAATTTTACCTTAAGGTTCAATACCACAAAAGAAAAGCAGGGATTGATTTTGGGGGTTATGGTACCAACAGTTAAGGAATTAGGGGCCAAAAATAAGCATTTTTGTAACTTCCAGACATAACTTGTGTGTTAGTGTATGGGTCTCTCTGACATTGTACCATAAGGTTCCATATCACAAAGGGAATGCTTGGATTGATTTTCGGGGTAATTGCCTCAAAATTTTAGGAATTAGTGCCAAAAAAGGGGCAAAAACAAGCATTTTTCTAGTTTCATGACAATAACTTGTGTGTAAGTGTATGTATCTTTCTCAAATTGTACTACAAGGTTCCATATCACAAAGGGAATGCTTGGATTGATTTTGGGGGTAATTGCCTCAAAATGTTAGGAATTAGTGCCAAAAAAGGGGCAAAAACAAGCATTTTTCTAGTTTCATGACAATAACTTGTGTGTAAGTGTATGTATCTTTCTCAAATTGTACTACAAGGTTCCATTTCACAAAGGGAAAGCTGGAATTGAGTTTGGGGGTAATTGCCCAAAACGTTTGGGAAAAAGGGGCCAAAAATATTCATTTTTCTAGTTTCCAGACAATAACTCGTGTTCAACTGTATGGATTTCTCTGAAATTGTACTGCAAGGTACCATACCACAAAGGGAAGGCTGGGATTGATTTTGGGGGTAATTGCCTCAAAATTTTAGGAATTAGGGGCAAAAAAGGGGCAAAAAACAAGCATTTTTCTAGTTTCAGGACAATAACTTGTGTGTAAGTGTATGGATCTTTATGAAATTGTACTACAAGGTTCCATATCACAAAGGGAAAACTAGGTTTGAGTTTGGGTGTAATTGCCCTAAACGTTTAGGAACTTGGGGCCAAAAAGGGGCCAAAAAAACAAGCATTTTTCTAGTTTCCAGACAATAACTTTGTGTTCAAGTGTATGGATCTCTCTGAAATTGTACTGCAAGATACCATACCACAAAGGGAAGGCTGGGATTGAGTTTGGGGGTGATGAATCATAAGGGGGTTCAAAATGTTTAGGGGAGGAATCTTTTTTTTTTTTTAATTTTCCATTTTAAATTGGTTATTTCTGATTTATATATCAAAGCAAATAATAATGATATGGTTTGAATAGGTAAATTAAAAATTTTTAAGTTCTTAGACCACATTCATTCTGTGTCAGAAACCTATGCTGTGTCAAATATTTAATCACAATCCAAATTTAGTGCTGTATCAAGCTTGAATGTTGTGTCCATACTTGCCCCAACTGTTCAGGGTTCAACCTCTGAGGTCGTATCAAGCTGCGCCCAGCGGAGCATTTTATTGTAACTTCCAGACATTACTTGTGTGTTAGTGTATGGATCTCTCTGACATTGTACCACAAGGTTCCATATCACAAAGGGAATGCTGGGATTGTTTTTGGGGGTAATTGCCTCCAAAATTTAGGAATTAGGGGCCAAAAAAGGGACAAAAAACAAGCATTTTTCTAGTTTCATGATAATAACTTGTGTGTAAGTGTATGGATCTTTCTGACATTGTACCATAAGGTTCCATATCACAAAGGGAATGCTGTGATTGATTTTGGGGGTAATTCCCTCAAAATTTTAGGAATTAGGGGCCAAAAAGGGGCAAAAAACAAGCATTTTTCTAGTTTCATGACAGTAACTTGTGTGTAAGTGTATGGATCTTTATGAAATTGTACTACAAGGTTCCATATCACAAAGAGAAAGCTGTAATTGAGTTTGGGGGTAATTGCCCAAAACATTTAGGAATAAGGGGCCAAAAAAGGGCCAAAAATGAGCAATTTTCTAGTTTCCAGACAATAACTTGTGTTCAAGTGTATGGATCTCTCTGAAATTGTACTGCAAGGTACCATACTACAAAGGGAAGGCTGGGATTGATTTTTGGGGTAATTCCCTCAAAATTTTAGGAATAAGGGGCCATAAAGGGGCAAAAAAACAAGCATTTTTCTAGTTTCATGACAGTAACTTGTGTGTAAGTGTATGGATCTTTATGAAATTGTACTACAAGGTTCCATATCACAAAGAGAAAGCTGTAATTGAGTTTGGGGGTAATTGCCCAAAACATTTAGGAATAAGGGGCCAAAAAAGGGCCAAAAATGAGCAATTTTCTAGTTTCCAGACAATAACTTGTGTTCAAGTGTATGGATCTCTCTGAAATTGTACTGCAAGGTTCCATATCACAAAGAGAAAGTCAGGTTTGAGTTTGGGGGTAATTGCCCTAAACGTTTAGGAATTTGGGGCCAAAAAGGGGCCAAAAATAAGCATTTTTCTAGTTTCCAGACAATAACTTGTGTTCAAGTGTATGGATATCTCTGAAATTGTACTGCAATGTACCATACCACAAAGGAAGGCTAGGATTGATTTTTGGGGTAATTCCCTCAAAATTTTAGGAATTAGGGGCCATAAAGGGGCAAAAAACCAAGCATTTTTCTAGTTTCAGGACAATAACTTGTGTGTAAGTGTATGGATCTTTATGAAATTGTACTGCAAGGTTCCATATCACAAAGGGAAAGTCAGGTTTGAGTTTGGGGGTAATTGCCCTAAACATTTAGGAATTTGGGGCCAAAAAGGGGCTAAAAAACAAGCACTTTTCTAGTTTCAGGACAATAACCTGTGTGTAAGTGTATGGATCTTTATGAAATTGTACTGCAAGGTTCCATATCACAAAGGGAAAGTCAGGTTTGAGTTTGGGGGTAATTGCCCTAAGCGTTTAGGAATTAGGGGCCATAAAGGGGTCAAGATCTATCAGCCCTGAAATTTTCAGACGAATCGAACAACCCATTGTTGGGTTTCTGCCACTAAATTAGTAGTTTTTGTCGAGCCTGCGACTTTTGTCGCAGAAAGCTCGACATAGGGATAGTGATCCGGCGGCGGTGGCGGCGGTGGCTACGGCGGCGGCGGCGTTAGCTTACTTCTTAAAAGCTTTATATTTTAGAAGGTGGAAGACCTGGATGCTTCATACTTTGTTAATGGATGCCTCATGTTACGAAGTTTCCGTCAGTCACATGTCCAATGTCCTTGACCTCATTTTCATGGTTCAGTGACTACTTGAAAAAAAAGTTAACATTTTTTGTAATGTTAAATTCTCTCTTATTATAAGTAGTAGGATAACTATATTTGGTATGTGCGTACCTTGCAAGGTCCTCATGCCCGTCAGACAGTTTTCACTTGACCTCGACCTCATTTCATGGATCAGTGAACAAGGTTAAGTTTTGGTGGTCAAGTCCATATCTCAGATACTATAAGCAATAGGTCTAGTATATTCGGTGTATGGAAGGACTGTAAGGTGTACATGTCCAACTGGCAGGTGTCATCTGACCTTGACCTCATTTTCATGGTTCAGTGGTTATAGTTAAGTTTTTGTGTTTTTGTCTTTTTTTCTTATGCTGTATGCAATAGGTCTACTATATTTGGTGTATGGAATGATTGTAAGGTGTACATGTCTAGCTGGCAGGTGTCATCTGACCTTGACCTCGTTTTCATGGTTCAGTGGTCAAAGTTAAGTTTTTGAGTTTTGGTCTTTTTTTCTAAAACTTTATGCCGTAGGTCAACTATATTTGGTGTATGGAAATATTTTATAATCTATATGTCAGTCGTGCAGGTTTTGTATGACCTTGACCCCATTTTCACGGTTCATTGCTCAGTGTTAAGTTTTTGTGTTTTGGTGTGTTTTTCTTAAACTATAAGCAATAGGTCAACTATATTTGTTATATGGAAGAATTGTTAACTGTACATGTCTGCCTGGCACGGTTCATCTGACCTTGACCTCATTTTCATGGTTCATTGGTCAATGTTTAGTTTTCTTGGTTAATGTTAATTTTAGTTGACAGTTGTAATAAAGCTTTATATTTAGGACTATCAACATAATATCAATGATTAGTAAAGAAGGCGAGACATTTCAGCGTGTGCACTCTTGTAAGGAAATTTTGCAGTTTTTTGTTATCTTGAATATTATTATAGATAGATATAAACTGTAAACAGCAATAATGTTCAGCAAAGTAAGATCTACAAAAAAGTTAATAAGACCATAATTGTCAATTGACCCCTTAAGGAGTTATTGCCCTTTAAAGACAATTTTACACAATTTGTTCATCAAGTTTGCTAACATTTAAAAATCTTCTCCTCTGAAACTACAGGGCCAATTTCCTTTAAACTTTAACTAAATGTTCCTTAGGATATCTTGTTTATAATATGTATCCGAAGTTTTGATCCATTGATAAACATGGCCGCCATGGCTAAAAATAGAACATAAGGGTCAAATGCAGTTTTTGGCTTATATCTCAAAAACTAAAGCTTTTAGAGCAAATCTGACATGGGGTAAAATTGTTCAATTGGTCAAGATCTATCGGCCTTGAATTATCAGACGAATCGAACAACCCATTGTTGGGTTTCTGCCACCAAATTGATAGTTTTAACAAAATTTTGCAGTTTTTATACGACCGCAAAAATTAAAAAAATTTTCGTCGTATATTGGTATGACGTTGGTGTCGTCGTCGTTGTTGTCGTCCTTGTTGTCATCTTCCGGCGTCGTCGTCGTTGTCCGAAGACACATTGGTTTTTACATTCTAACTTTAGTTTAAGTGAATGGATCTCCATGAAATTTTACTATAAGGTTCAATACCACAAAAGGAAGGTTGGGATTCATTTTGGGGGTTATGGTACCAACAGTTAAGGAATTGGGGGCAAAAAAGGGGCCAAAAATAAGCATTTTTGTAAATTGAACTACAAGGTTCCATATCACAAAGGGAAAGCTGGAATTGAGTTTGGGGGTAATTGCCCTAAACGTTTAGGATTAAGGGGCCAAAAAGGGGCCAAAAATAGCATTTTTCTAGTTTCCAGACAATAACTTGTGTTCAAGTGTATGATCACTCTGAAATTGTACTGCAAGGTACCATACCACAAAGGGAAGCCTGGGATTGATTTTGGGGGTAATTGCCTCAAAATATTAGGAATTAGGGGCCAAAAAGGGGCAAAAAGCAAGCATTTCTAGTTTCAGGACAATAACTTGTGTGTAAGTGTATGGATCTTTATGAAATTGTACTACAAGGTTCCATATCACAAAAGGAAAGCTGGGTTTGAGTTTGGGGGTAATTGCCCTAAACGTTTAGGAATTTGGGGCCAAAAAGGGGCTTAAAAACAATCATTTTTATACGCCCGTTTACGGGACGTATTATGGTATACCATTGTCCATCTGTCCGTCTGTCCGTCCGTCCGTCTGTCCGTCTGTCCGTCCGTCCGTCTGTCCGTCTGTCCGTCCGTCGTCAACATGTCGGACATTAACTCAAAAACGCTTTAACCAATTTGCATAAAACTTTGGTGAATTGTTTATATCTATTGACGTGAGCTCCCTTTCGTTTTTTATAAATTTTAGATTTTACGTTTCCGAGTTATGGGGCTTTATTCATTAAAAAAAGTGGGATTTTCCAGTTTTCGGACAATAACTCAAGAATGCTTTCACCAACTTGCAAGAAATTGTGGTGAATTGTTTATATCTATTGACATGAGCTCCCTTTTGGTTTTAATATATTTTAGATTTTACGTTTCCGAGTTACAGGGTTTTTTTCATAAAAAAGGGTGATTTTCCAGATTTCGGACCAAAAATCAAAAATGCTTTCAGCAGTTCTTTTGAAACTTTGGTGAATTGTTTATATCTATTGATGTAAGCTCCGTTTAGAATTTTATAAATTTTACATTTTACATTTCTGAGTTATGGGGTTTTATTCATTAAAAAAGGGGGGATTTTCCAGTTTTCGGACAATAACTCAAAAATGCTGTCAGCAATTCTCATGAAACTTTGGTGAATTGTTTATATCTATTGATGTAAGCTCCCTTTATATTTTCATAAATTTCTAATATGACATTGAGAATTAATTGAACTTTAATTGTTTATAGTCTGACAACAGATTTACTAAGTATTGCGCAACAGCACAGTGTATTGCACAACAGCAAGAAATCTTTAATTGAATATATAAATTCAATTCATATGACCAATTTCAAGTTCTTTGACTACATTTATTCAGAAACCTATAATATGTCAAATATTTAATACAATCCAAATTCAGACCTGTATCAAGCTTGAATATTGTGTCCATTTTTGCCCCAACTGTTCAGGGTTAGACCTCTGCGGGCGTATCCAGCTGCGCTCAGCGAAGCAGTTTATTCTAGTTTCCATACACCAACTTGTGTTCAAGTGTATGGATCTCTCTGAAATTGTACTGCAAGGTACCATACCACAAAGGGAAGGCTGGGATTGAGTTTGGGGGTTATAAATCATAAGGGGGTTCAAAACATTGGGGGGGGGGATTTTTTTTTCCTTTTTTTTCTTTAAAATTTTCCATTTTAAATTGGTTATTTCTGATTTATATATAAAAGCAAATAATAATGATATCATTTGAATAGGTAAATTAAAAAAATTTAAGTTCTTAGACCACATTCATTCTGTGTCAGAAACCTATGCTGTGTCAAATATTTAATTACAATCCAAATTCAGTGCTGTATCAAGCTTGAATGTTGTGTCCATACTTGCCCCAACTGTTCAGGGTTCGACCTCTGCGATCGTATCAAGCTTCGCCCTAGCCGAACATTTTATTTGTTATTATCTTGAATATTATTATAGATAGATATAAACTGTAAGCTGCAATAATGTTCAGCAAAGTAAGATCTACAAAAAAGTTAATCTGACCAAAATTGTCAATTGACCCCTTAAGGAGTTATTGCCCTTTAAAGACAATTTTACACAATTTGTTCATCAAGTTAGCTTACATTTAAAAATCTTCTCTGAAATACAGGTGAGCGATTGAGGCTCTTGAGAGCCTCTTGTTGATTTATTTTTTGGAAGAAATTGCACTATATGTAATATATATCGCAAGTTGTGATTATATAATTACTGTTTACTCCAGTGGCAAACATTTCATGCATATTTAAGACGATTGTAAAATGATTGTTCTGATAAAAATTAAAGATAAAAGAGATTTGAAATAAATGTAGGAATTATCAAGCTTCGCTCTAAATTCAGATCATTGGTTGGTAAACAAATGTTTCAGCTGAGCCCCGATGTGTTGAACTTTTGTAAGTACTGCAACTGTTCAATAATATTTACTAGTATCATTTGGACAGATAGTGATAAAATATTTTATGGGACAGAGATGCTTTAGCTATTCCATAATATTTATAAGTCTTTTTTTTCTCAAATTGATAAATATGGGTCAAATCATAAGTCAAGATTGGCACATTCATAAATGACAAATAGAAAAATTGACACTGGCTGCATATTATCGGATAAAATTCGTTCAAATACAAATATTTTAGCAGTTTTGAATTTCACAAATGTCAAAAAATTTAAACCCACTTATATATATATAATTTTTTTTATAAATAACGAGGTGCGTCTTTTTTTTTAACTATATTTGTTATGTATAATTTCTGTGATATTAAGTCCTTGATCGATTAATTTTCGCATTTAAAACTGAAAATGTCTACTTTCCAGGGTAATCCAGGTCTGTTGCTATATACATTAATCGGGTCGTCACACAGTGTATATATTTATTAAGAAAATTTTCGTGACCCAGCGTTAACCGGAACACACCCTTTTGACAGTTTTAACTCAACCCCTGAAGAAATAAAATAATGTCACTCACTATTTGAATCGTTGTAGAATAATTAATTCTGGGCCGATTTTCATTTTTTATGCATCAGTCAATTTGTTTAAATAAGTTGTTCATGAATAAATGTCAACCTACGCAATTGAAATAAGTAAAGATGTTTTCCGACAGGTATTGATGTTAATCTGTCTGGATAAAAACCATGTGATTGATAAGAAGTATCTCTGGTCAATTTATGACCGCTGCATCGCAGATAGTCACAAAAGAAATTAATGACAGCGTACTAATAAGACAGTTTCCATATCTTTTCTACAGTGCTACCCGGGTTATAAATAAGTGCTAATCAATCATTGTAGTTCCTGTCAATATAATACTTCCATGGGCAAATTAACCTCAAGATATAACAAGTGGTCTATGTATGTTAATTAATTGTATCCATGATATCAGCATCTTTATCATAACATTAACTACTTGTAAACTGAAATGGCTATTCTGTTTGTATAAACAATACTTATATTACATATAAGTAAAACACATATTAAAAATAGTGAAATGAGATATAACACAAGATAAGCAAACATTGAATAACAGAAATACATTACAAATTGTGTTAACAGGTCAAATTAACACGAAAGTATGATTTGAGAGTACTCACAGTACTGAAAGCTAGTTAAAAGCCAAAAACAATTAATAATGAAAAATCATGCATCAGAGACTAAAACCAATTAAAACACATCCCAGGGATTTAGTGTTTTAATGCCATGGACAGTCAAAGAAGACATGACTAGTGCAATGCCAAAATAAAAGTATCGACAGGCAGTAGAATAGTTATGATTTAACCTTATAATAAATATATATGATTGTTGTATTTTCAATTTTAGACCAGCAGGTTTTTCAACAGCTGTTGATGCAATATCAGGGAACAGTTCTTTTCAGATATCAGAGGAAGAAAAGAAAAAAATATTAGATGAGGAAAATCAAAGATTACAACAGTTAAAGGTATAATTTAACTCATGATTTATACTTTCGTCCTGGGGGAAACATGATTGCCTTACAAACATTAACCGACAGATGCAAAGTGATGACTTGAGGCCTACAAAGACATGTAAGCACATTGGAGACGACAAATGCCAAGTGATGCCTCTAACACATTCCATATGATCCTGGGTACAACTGGTGCTTGTGATTGTGATGACCTCTAGACCTTTAATTAAATTTTGGAGGTCCTTTTATGAGTTTTATTGTCTCCTTGTTGCCAAATGATAGCTCAACAATATACAAAAATGTGCTTATTTCTAGCTATTGAACAACCAACACTACAAGTTTCTCAGTTGTGTCTATAAGATGAAGAACCACAATTATTGACCTTATGAAAAACCAGAGGATAAGAAGAGAAATTAATCAGTGGTTAATTTTTGTAATGGTGCAAAGCTCAGATGTGGAACAACTGAGTGACCCCCAAGGAATTGAATAAGGAGAGTTAGTGTAAAGGGTTGTAACTTATTATGTTACACCTAGGGCACCTTCAATAATTCACTGATAATGAAAGATAGAAATACATACATTTAATCATATGAATCAGTTTTGAAATAAAGACAAGCAAATATATGATATCTATAATACACACATGTCTAATATCTATTTAAGTACATGTACAAATGTACACTGTATAATAAATACAAGTATCATGATGATAACTTTTGTTGTACCTTTTTGATAACATATTTGCTAGTTCTAATATAGGGACAATAACTACTGGAATTCCATCTACCTAATGTTTTAATCAAGTGATCCTCAATGTTGGATTTCCCAGCTGTTGTTGCAGCCCAAATATGAAATGAATGTCCATTAAAGGAATGAGGATTATTAGGGGGAGGGTTGGCGCGTTCAAACTAGTTTAACCCCGCCACATTCTGTATGTGCCTGTCCCAAGTCAGGAACCTGTAATTCAGTGGTTGTCGTTTGTTGCTGCGTTTCATATTTGTTTTTAGTTCATTATTTTGTACATAAATTAGGCCGTTAGTTTTCTCGTTTGAATTGTTTTACATTTGTCATTTCGGGGCCTTTTATAGCTGACTATGCGGTATGAGCTTTGCTCATTGTTGAAGGCCGTACAGTGACCTATAGTTGTTAATTTCTGTGTCATTTGGTCTATTGTGGAGAGTTGTCTCATTGGCAATCATACCACATCTTCTTTTTATATTATATCCACATATACCCCAAAAATGCTTTTTATAACTTGCCAATGAAAAATTCTCTTTATAGAGCTCTACCAAATTCGTCAATAAATAAAGCACTATCATTTTGATATGGAAACATGGTTTTCCTTAAAATCAAATAATCATGTAATGCTTTATATGGACAACAATCATGATTTAGCTTGTGAAGTTGAATATCCACACCTATCCTGAAAGGGTCTGTCTTAGATTGCTTTAAATGAAAAATAACATAATCAGAATAAAAAAAAACATCAGATATATTTAAATTGTTGCTACAATCGAACAATTTGAACTTGTGAACTGAAAATTTACCACAGCGTAAAAAACCATAAAAACTACTGTAAAAGTAGTTTATAACACCTGGTCAATAAAAGGGGAAAAAACTCATTCTTTAAGCTTTACACATAAATGTTGAAGAATATCAAAAGTTATGGTTAAACAATCTTTAATGATTGGTTTCTGTAACCTTTTAATATAGTTTGAAAAACAAGGACAGTCTCTCCAAATTGTTACTAGAATTGTTTAAAGGAGAACATATATTGTCCTTCAAGCATCTGTACCTAATTCCATATATATACAGCTTATTTGTAGAGTACTGTAGTTTGAGATGCTGGAAGCAATGAGTAGCAAAATATATCAACAGATCTTCTGACACTGAAAGAGGCTTGCCATCACTAACATTAATACCTTTTAACATCAAAATTTAAAAAAAATGATTATAACTAGTCTCATGACAATTTTGTCCAATCAGAAATAGAATAATGCCATATTTTACTAACTGTTACACGTGGAACTTTGCATGTACTCTGCTCTGCTTATGGGGCCACCTTGTGAAAACGGGTAATCTGTAAAGGAGACAAATTTTACCATAAGGTTCAATACCACAAAAGGAAGGTTGGGATTCATTTTGGGGGTTATGGTACCAACAGTTAAGGAATTAGGGGCCAAAAAGGGGCCAAAAATAAGCATTTGGCGTCGTCCGTCGACGTCCGTCAACGTTAGCTTTTTACAAAAATCTTCTCCTCTGAAACCACTGGGCCAAATTTAACCAAACTTAGCCACAATCATTATTAGGGTATCTAGTTTAAAAAATATTTCCGATGATCCCGCCAGCCAACCAAGATGGCAGCCATGGCTAAAAATAGAACATAGGGGTAAAATGTAGATTTTGGCTTATATCTCTGAAACCAAAGCATTTAGAGTAAATCTGACATAGGGTAAAACTGATTATCAGGTCAAGATCTATCTGCCCTGAAATTTTCAGACAAATCTGACAACCTGTTGTTGGGTTGCTGCCCCTGAATTGGTAATTTTAAGGAAATTTTGCAGTTTTTGGTTATTATCTTGAATATTATTATAGATAGAGATAAACTGTATACAGCAATAATGTTCAGCAAAGTAAGATCTACAAATAAGTTGTATGACCAAATTTGTCAGTCGACCCCTTTAGGAGTTATTGCCCTTAAAAAAGTCAATTTTTAACAATTTTTTGTAAATTTTTGTAATCTTTTACAAATTTCTTCTTCTCTGAAACTACTGAGACAAATTTAACCATACTTGGCCATAATCATTATTAGGGTATCTAGTTTAAAAAATTTGTCCGAAGACCCCGCCTTCCAACCATCATGGCCGACTTGGTTAAAAAAAGAACATAGGGGTAAAATGCAGTTTTTGGTTTATATCTCTGAAACTAAAGCATTTAGAGCAAATCTGACAGATGGCAAAAATGTTCATCAGACTTAGATTTTTCTGTCCTGAAATTTTCAGACGAATCCGACAACCCGTTGTTGGGTTGCTGCCCCTGAGTTAGTAATTTTACAAAAATTTTGCAGTTTTTTGTTATTATCTTAGATATCATTATAATATCTAATATCTAATACTATTAATAATGATTTTAACCTTATTTATCATGATTTCCAAAGCATCAGTAAATACAGGTGAGCGACACAGGCTCTTGAGAGCCTCTAGTTGTAACTTCCAGACATAACTTGTGTAGTAGTGTATGGATCTCTCTGATATTGTACCACAAGGTTCCATATCACAAAGGGAATGCTGGGATTGATTTTGGGGGTAATTGCCTCAAAATTGTAGGAATAAGGGGCAAAAAACAAGCATTTTTCTAGTTTCATGACAATAACTTGTGTGTAAGTGTATGGATCTTTCTGAAATTGTACTACAAGGTTCCATATCACAAAGGAAAAGCTGGACTTGAGTTTGGGGGTAATTGCCGAAAATGTTTAGGAATAAGGGGTCAAAAATAAGCATTTTTCTAGTTTCCAGACAATAACTTGTTTTTATATGACCGCAAAAATTAAAAATTTTTTGGTCGTATATTGGTATGACGTTGGCGTCGTCGTCGTCGTCGTCCGAAGACACATTGGTTTTCGCACTCTAACTTTAGTTTAAGTGAATGGATCTCCATGAAATTTTACCATAAGGTTCAATACCACGAAAGGAAGGTTGGGATTGATTTTAGGGGTTATGGTACCAGCAGTTTAGGAATTAGGGGCCAAAAAGGGGCCAAAAATAAGCATTTTTGTAACTTCCAGACAATAACTTGTGTGTAAGTGTATGGATCTCTCTGACATTGTACCACAAGGTTCCATATCACAAAGGGAAGGCTGTAATTGATTTTGGGGGTAATTGCCTCAAAATTTTAGGAATTAGGGGCAAAAAAAGGGGCAAAAAACAAGCATTTTTCTAGTTTCATGACAATAACTTGTGTGTAAGTGTTTGGATATTTCTGAAATTGTACTACAAGGTTCCATATCACAAAGGGAAAGCTGGAATTGAGTTTGGGGGTAATTGCCTGAAACATTTAGGAATTGGGGTCCAAAAAGGGGCCAAAAATAAGCATTTTTCTAGTTTCCAGACAATAACTTGTGTTCAAGTGTATGGATCTCTCTGAAATTGTACTGCAAGGTACCATACTACAAAGGGAAGGCTGGGATTGAGTTTGGGGGTGATGAATCATAAGGGGGTTCAAAAAATTTGGGGGGGGGATTTTTTTTAAATTTTTTTTTTAAATTTTTCCTTTTTTTTTTCTTTTAAAATTTTCCATTTTAAGTTGGTTATTTCTGATTTATATTTAAAAGCAAATAATAATGATATGGTAGGAGATACACACCAAACAGGATGTGTAAATTATTATATAATAAGTATTGTGCAATAGCAAGAAATTTTCAATTGCACAGTATTGCGCAATAGCAAGAAATATCCAATAGCACAATATTGCGCAATAGCAAGAAATTGTCAATTGTACAGTATTGCGCAATAGCAAGAAATATTCAATTGCACAGTATTGTGCAAAAGAAGATACTTCGTATAAATTGCTTATTTCTTGATCAATTTCAATGGGGTTTTATTCTTGAATTCTTGGGGTTCTTTAATATGCTGAATCTAACCATGTATTAAGTTTTTGGATTTTGGGCCCCGTTTTTAAATTGGTCCACATTGAGGTCCAAAGGGTCCAAAATTTAACTTTGTTTGATTTCATCAAAAATTGAATTATTGGGGTTCTTTGATATTCTGAATCTAACCGTGTATTTAGATTCTTAATTTTTGGTTCCGTTTTCAAATTGGTCTACATTAAGGTCCAAAGGGTCCAAAATTAAACTTAGTTTATTTTTAACAAAAATTTAATTTTTAGGGTTCTTTGATATGCTGAATCTAAACATGTATTTAGATTTTTGATTATGGGCCCAGTTTTCAAGTTGGTCCAAATCGGGGTCAAAAGGGTCCAAAATTAAACTTTGTTTGATTTCAACAAAAATTGAATAT